TAACTTTTTATATTTTATCTCCTTACAACTGGAGAACAGGTTCCTAGAGGACAGGAGGTGTACACTATAATTTCCTATAGTCCTCACAGTATCTCCCAAAGTATATTCTCAAACAGGCACTTATTTAAGGGTGTAAGATGTATCTTGGCAGTTGCAAAAGTAGAATCACTTTTTAAAAAGGAAATATCAGCTCCATTTCTTTGACAGCAGTCTTGAACAATCTGTCATCTTATTCAGCCATACACATATGTGTAGCAGTAAGCTGTCTTCCATAGAGCCTTCTATAACATGCAAACTCCTATAACAACTAACTTGCGCAGTCTTTTATATTTATCTAAAACAAGGTGACAGAATAGCATAGTGTTAAAGATCCCAGGCTGTGGAGAGACTGCCTAGATTTCTAGCGATGCTTTAACACTTCCTGTCCATGTGACCTTAGGTGAATCACAAAACTTGCCTGTCCTTTTTTTTTTAACTGTGTAAAAGAGGAATGATAATAATACTGACCTCAAAGGACAGGTGTGAGAATTCAATGACTACATATAAAGTACATAAAAGAGTACCTAACACATTGTAGATAACAGACATTGGTCATTATTATTTTATGATAGATAATAAAAATTACTTGCAGATAAAAAAATTAGAAGTAAAAGTAATACTTGTAGGTTTACGCTCCAGCCCCTGGATGCATTCCAAACACTAAAACTGGATCTGGAGTCAAGGTCTTCCAATACCACTGATGTTTAAAGAAAGCTCATAGGTTATCTCATTGTACATCCATATGCAGGTAGCGTCAGCTGCCTCACTGTTAACAGCATGGAATAGGCTCTCAGAAACAGCTGTTTGCTGGAACAAATGAATAACTGCTCTACTTGCTGTAGGGAGCAATTTTAGTAACAGATATCTTTAAGTGTAGCATTTTCTTGGTGAAAATGTACAGATAAAGACGTCTCTGTGAGTCCTCCAACCAGAGCAATTATTGTACACAACGATCTCCAGGAGGGCGCTCTGCTGTTCTTCATGTGACCTGACCTAATTAATTTCAAAAGGAAAGGAAACACAATACATCATAGTACCTGCACCAATTAACTGATTAACCGAACGGTATGAACCTCATGGAGGTTCAAACATCAAAGACTGTATCTTTCACAATTCCCTGACCTCAGCAGCACAGTGCCAAATCTCCCTTCCCAGCTGGAGTAGATTCCTGAAAAATAACTGGAAGAGATCCCAGAATTTTCAGGTCTCTTGCAGCTATTAAAAATCCACCCAATTTAAAATGCCAATCAAATGCCTAAAGCAGAGCCTTCTGCTGGAGGACCTCCCAGCCTGGGTGCTGGGAAATGGGGAGGGGTCCCCACAGTGCCCACACTGGGAGTGCAGGCCAACTAAGTCTCTCTCTGTCTGCTGCCAGCCTCTTCCAGTCTCCTTTTTGCCTGTTAAAGTGGGTGTGAGCACAGCAACAAATATATGCCTACCGTATTTCTTGCTTTTCCCCAAGAGTTTTCTTATAAAAAACAACCTGTCTTTAGGAGGGCTCCTCAACCACTCCCCCCGTGACCAGCTGCAGGAATGAAGCTGGGAAGGGTGGGTGGTTAGATCTTGGGTTGGTTCCTGGCCCTTCCTACACAAGACATAAAGCCACTGGTTGAAAGGACAGAAGAAGGAATGGTGGAGGTAAAGACAAGTACCCCTGGTTCCCTTTGTGCTTCTACTGAGTCCATGTAAGACTGAATGGCCTTGCAGGGATGTCAAGGACAAAGATGATGCACCACACAGTTAGCAGGCAGGAGCGCTGAGCAACCAGAAGGGATGTGTGTCTGGGCTGCTGGGCCCTCCAGTTGCCAGGCGGAGAGGCGAGCCCAGCTGGGCTGGCAGGGTTGCTGCCAAGGTCCTCAGGGGGTAGGGTCCCAGGCTTCTTACCAACAACAGGGGGTGTTTCGGCGTTTTCGTACTGGGACAGCTGTCCTGGTGCAAACCAGCTGAACACTACGCCTGCAAGGGGAGCTCCTCAGACGGTCAAGGGCGAGATCAGACGGTCCCAAGCCAGCCCTCCCCCCTTGACTGGCGCACGGCCTCTTGCCTGATCAAGTTGAACTACTTTCTACGTGTTCATGTGGCCCCTGGAAAACAAATGCATGTCTGCAATGCCAGGAGAGAGACTGCAGCAGGCTGTTCTAAGTCTCTGCCAGCTGCTGATTTCCTCTGGTTCTCTTTTTGCTTGGTCAGAGAGGAGAAGGCAGCAGCAATAAATCAACATCTAAAACGCCGCGTGCTTCTTGCCAAACCATGAGAAGACACGTCTTCACCCAGTCTTTAACAGGGCTTCTCTCAAAGCTGTCTTCACTGTGTTTGACAGAGGTCAGGGCTGAAGAAGGGGAAGCACTTCGCTGCCTCCTTCACATGACAAGGAGCAAAGCCACGATACTGCAGGAGACTGCCCAGCCTGTGACAGCCCACCCCTGGGACTGGGGCGGGGACAAGAAGGGCAGCCCTCGGAGTGGTCAGTCGGATGGCAGCTGGGTTAGGCCGTCTTTATAAATCCTCAGGGAAGATCTGGCCCAAACTGAGGGTGGCTTCTTGGTGGCTTTCCCCTTGGAAAGTGTGAATTTAAAGCTGTTCTTAAGGATTTCTGACAACAGCAACAATTTGGGCCACAGGAAAAATTCTCTTCAATACCCTTTAAATATGCTTATTTAAAGAGGTACCTGAAATAATTAAATATTATATTCTGTTCAAGAAAAGATGAACATCAAATACACAAGGAAGAAAAAAATAACTGAGGAAGCATATTTCCACTGGTGATTATCTGGAGATGCTGATTAATCCATTGTGCACATATTTATGTTTAATTACAAACTGGGAAGGCTTTAGGATGTTATTCTAAAACATACTCTATTAGCATTATGGCATCATATTCATGTGGTGCAAATAAAAATGTGAGAAACTTTTCTCAGTAAATAATTTTTTACCGACCCTGTTTTATCAAAAGCATATATTTTTACTCAGACGTTATAAGAAACTAAGTCTGAGTATAAGCTGATTTGCTATATAATTGGAATAGGCTTATTGCAGTCATTTTACCCCTTTAAATTACAACACCAGCACTGAAACATCTGTTAGACCATAGCATCTGTTTCATATTTGGGATGCATCCCTACAAATTAGAAGAGTGTTCTTTTTAATGAGCTCTGATTTAATGGGGACTCCTTTTTTTTTTTAATGACTGTTGTGCCAAAGAAAGAAAATGAGAAGGCAAATTTTCATTGCTCTAGCACCCCCCACAGCAAAGCACCTCTAAGGCCCACACATTTCCAATCCAAAACTATCTAATAAATATACATTTACATCGAAAGTTTGTTTTATAGACTGAAAGCTGAAAGTGTCAGTCGCTCAGCTGTGTCCGACTCTTTGCGACTCCCTGGACTGTAGCCCACCAGGCTCCTCTGTCCATGGGATTCTCCAGGGAGTGGGAAGTCATTCCTTTCTCCACAAGATCTTCCCAGCCCAGGGATGGAACCCAGGTCTCCTGCATTGCAGGCAGATTTTTTATTATCTGAGCCACCAGAGACAGATTAGTGTTGTTTAATATTTAAAAGAGCATATGTGTAAGTTTGTGTATATATATAAACACAATCCTCCCCCACAGGAATAGCCAAAATGGCTGCCATTCATGTAACATAGGAAAAATAATTACTTCTTTAAAATAAATTATTTTGACAAACTACATAGTCTTAGATACTTGACAAATTTATGACCTCATAGTCTCCCTCTTACGAAGACATGGACAACTCTAGGGGCACCCTCATTGCCAGATCTCTGCCACTTTAGTTCTACCAGAAATAGTACTTGCTGCTGACTTGCCCAGTTCTTTTAAAAACTACTCCCTGTGGTCTCCCTACGTTTTCTAGTTATTCCTAGCCCTCTATTTTGAGTCTGAATTTGTCTTATACAAGGAGCATGTCAGCTTCATGTCAGGTATAACTGGGTTAGATTGTCCCACTGTTTACATACTTTACTGTTTATGCCTCTAATTTGGATCTGCCTGGACTTAGATAATTAAAACTCCTAAATTTTAATGCACACATTACCTTAAAATTTAGAAAATGACAGGCTGTCCCATTAAGCTCAATAAACTCAAAATAATTTACCACACACACATACACACACACTCAGGAGAAATCGAAACCTATTGGAAGGAAGACAGAAAAAAAGAAAGTTTAACACAGAGATATTTGGTCACCCATTTTGTACCTCCTAATTTGTTCCACTGAAGGAGAAAACCGCTGCAACAGTGTCCTGGTGCTAAAGACATCTGTCCCACACGTTCCCTTGAAGGCAGAGCGGTCACAATTTGGCAAAGGGACCCCTCCTAGCCACCCTGGGAAAAACTACTTCCGGCGTCTTCCTCCCCGCCTGTCCCCATCAAGTGAGAGCTCTGTCCTTCCCAAGCTTTACAGAAACATCTTTTTTACTCGACTAAAGGCATAGTAGCATTTTATATCCATGTCACATCAAACACACAACTGAGAGATGCTATAAAACCAGACTTTAGAACATGTCATTTGAGTTCTTCACTAAAAAAGCCCCCCAAATTAAAACATCAACTACCTGATTTAAAAGTAGTGCTTTCCGGAGATTTATAGATGTTATTAACGTAAGAGAATCAGAGAAGAGGAAAATTACCTAGACCATTTTTCTGGGTGTAGGATGGACTTACTTACCAATCCGAGGGACAAAACCTGACCTTATTTTAAAATACTACCTGTGAAAGGATTTTGTTATTTTCCTGGATAACCTTTTTCAATGCTTGATGACTTTTAGTAGCAAAAGTCCACTTTCCTTAAATTAAAGACGAACCCCCCTCATTGTTGAAAATTCTATACGACACACATTACAGTCACAGGTGAAATGGTTCAGTTCAGGCAATGCTGTTATGATTAACTTTTTTGTGTCTTCAACCACTGCAGATTTATCACAACGTATTCTTAGAAACTTGCCTCGGCCAGTTGAAAGAGTGCAGACTTTCCACAGCGTTTTACAGGTTCAGCACCACCCAAGTGCGAAGTGTTTGAAGAAATCTATACGGAAAACAATTCATACAAAGAATATTAATTGTGATATCAGAATTTTTGCTCTCCATTCACACCCATTCAGGAACTTTCCTTAGTTCATGAGAATATCATTACTTTTAAGTATCAAATAACTTAAATGCCTGAGGCTTGGGATTATAATTTTGAAACCAATGTTAGTAAATAACCTCAAAATTAGCAACAAAAAAACCAGGTGTGACTTGGGTGGCTGTTGGATGATAAAAAGTATGAGTATTCCAGGCTTTAAATTCAACTCTATGATCTTAAAACGAGTTATACATTTCCACTTCCATATAAACACCAACTCAGCAACTGGTCATACAGAAAGGAGATTTAGTGTCATTTCACATTTAACAAAAAGCAATTAGCTAATTTTTTGTTGAAATATATTTGGGATCCCTGTGAAAAGATAGCAACAAGGCAGTCAACAATTTTTTTTTTTTTGAGAATTGAACAGAAATGTGTTAGACAATATGACAAGACCTGGTGAAGCTAAGTTTTATATAAAACACTGGCAGTGGCACTTAGAGTATGCTCTGAAGCACAAAGATTAGCTGTGAAGACCACAAATCTCAGTAAGCACATCAGCATGCACACACCATTACACAGTGACTGCATGCTCTGCTTAAAATTTGGCAAAACTGCAACTGGGTACTGATAGCTGCGGACAACACTCTCCTATCTCATTTTTACAGGAAGACGTCGTTTCCACTTTCGAGCTTAACTCAGTAAAGAGTTGAGAAGGACATAGATTCTTAAGGATCTTTACAAAGAAGTCTTCTCCTAGAAAAGTTCTGTCATCATTAGAGCAGCTAGCAATGGTCTATGCTATTAATATTCCTCATGATTAGGAATTCTTCCTCAGTTTAGGACAAGTATTTCTCAGTTCAGTTTAGGAGGCAAACCTGCCTTGTGATGATATCCTGACAGGTGACCCCAGGCCCGACAGGGAAGGTCATGGAGCTGTCCCTCCAGGAGAGACTGGAGGCTTCGTTACTGCTAGAGAAAACTCTCCTTGGAACACCTGCTGAATAAGAGGCTTTTGCTGAGGCAAATATTTAATAAGCTACCTGGGTCATTTAGAAGGGGCTGGTTTAAGATTTAGGGGATTTCTCCTCCTGGGTGCTATCATTTTTGAGAGTCCTTCCCTATTCATCCCAATCACTTCCTTTTTCTTTAGAAGATAAACTTAGGGGCTGAAGCTTTCTAAAGATTTTACTCTGGCTGAACTGTCTCTGATATATGTCACTTCTACTTTTCCTAGACAAGGGGAATTCAGTTACTAACCTTATCATTAGACTAAGAAAACAAACACATTTAATAAAATCACTGACGTGGGGTGACCTGACCAGTCATGTGAATCAATGTTGTATTAATAGAAAGGACACGGCTTTTGTGTCAGACAAACATGCCTTCATTACTTTTTGCTGTGTGGACTGAAGGAAATAATTAAGTCCACATCCTCGCCTTCAAAACCAGAAACACTATCTGCCCCGTATTCCTTTTGTGAAGATGACATGTTATGTTAGTCACGAGTCTGGCCCGGTGTTCAGCCCATATTATGCCCTCAGTCAACAGTACAATTATGAGTTATAAGGATTTATCATTATTAACACGAATAAACTGTTAATACAATCCCCCCAAATCAGCTACAGATGGAAAGTAGAATAAAGTGAAACACTGCAACCTCAGAGGTCACTTATGAAGCTTAATAATCTGTAGAATATTAACTTTGTCACATAATCACATGACGCCCTCACGAGCGCAACAAGCTCGGTGATGCTGCACACACAGCTGAGCGTTTGCGAGCTCTTCCGCCGTCTGCCTCTGCTGGTGCTCCTATTGCTGAAGCTTTATACCCCCTGACGCCGTGTGTGTTCAACGCCACAAGCCTGCGTGGCTGTGTGGGCTCGCCACCACAGAGCCTGTGCCGAATGCCTGCGGGGCACACCCGGAGGCCCAGAGAGAACTTCTGACCACGCAGATGCGTCACCTGTCGGCGAGCTAACGTGCGACGCTCTGCGTCGAGCCGACAATGGTTCCCTGCCTTGCAAAAGAAACCACCGCCTAACGTTTAGTAAGAACCGCTTTTCCTCACCATCTGAAAGTATTTTTACCTATCTGTAGGTACAGGGCAGTATTCTAAATGCTCAATGGTGCTGTAAGCCTGATTTCCAAAGGGTCATGCTGGTAGGGGGTGTATCAATGTATTTTAGCGGCCCAGCGTTTCTAGAATCACCTAGCAATAAAATTTTCATGGAATGACTCAACAGTAAGATATACTTTCTATAAAAATGCCTTTTGGCTTCTTAACTGGGGGAAGGGGTGGGAACTTACGTTACTGTCTGCAGTGCTGGGCATGGCTGACCTTTGTCTTGAGAGTCTTTGGATTTCCAACACTGCAGACTATCTCTCCTTACTGTTTTTTCTTGGTTCTCCTTTCTATAGTGAGCCCTTAAATGTTCTTTCTCCCTCAGGGTTCTGTCTTAGGGCCCTCTCTCTTTTTCTTTATACTTTTTTTCTCAGTAATCTCATCTGCTTCTAATATAAACACAGCTTATATAATGCTGATTTGTTATACTATTGTTCATTTCCTTGTATCTTCTTTTTTTTCCTATTTAAGGGACATACACATCCTTTCAAGTAAGAATAACATAGCTAAAACAGGTCTTTCAGTGACAGGTCTGCCAGTGGAGGGAAGTGCACGGTATGTTACCCTCCTGGGAAGGGGGCAGTAGTGGGCCATACTGCATAGTAAGTTTGTGGCTTATTTTTTATTTTCCTCACATTGGATGGGGCTTGCCAATCTAATTCCACTGTAGTCTCTCCTCTGTCTATTAAATAATGTTCTGATAAACAGGGTGGGCATTAAAAGTATGTGACGTACAGCAAAAGTGCCAAGAAAAATGATCACCCTGGTTGTTAAACTGCTAATTTTATCGCTGCCTGAGGTAGGGGAGCACATCAAGGAAAGAGGTGGCAAAGATTAAAAGCAAATTAGCCAGAAGCCTTCTGCAGTTGCAACAGGTATCATAAACACTGCAGTCTGGGAGGAAATGACCAACAATTGTTGAGTGCATAAATGAATCAAAGAACAAACGAACAGTATGAGATGAATGGTCTCCCTTATCTTAAAAGAAATATTAATTCTTCCAATAAAACATGGAAAGCTTTCACAGCGATGAGCTGTGAAATGAGTGTGAGTATATGGAATCTGTGTCAACTATGATATTCTGTAACATATTGGGCACGCCATCATAGAAATGAACACTTTAAAACTGGACCAATTGCTTAAATCCAATCATGACAATACCTTGGAGAGATTACGATTGTATTTACATTGGCAAAGCAAAAACCTTCTAAGGTAAGTTTTAGTGTTCAAATGTATTTAAATTGTCCAGATTAGCTCCCTGTCTTCAAAGTAAACATGAAATTTTTCAACATAAAGGTATACTCCAGGTGTAAGAGTCAGCCACTTGGCAGAGAAGGGGATCTGTGGACTGGTCATGGCTTTCAGAACTGTTAAATAATGGATGACAGCAATTCCCTTCTGGCATTACATCTGGTCATTAGTCTTCAGTAAATGAGATCTAAACAGTGACAGATGTGTCAGTCTACATGTAAACAACAAAAAATGCAGATAGGAAACTCATTTTGACCAACTTAATGGATCAGAGTCTGGAAAGAGAGTGATGGTTCTTCAAATGGGCCAAGTGGAATCTTGATGAGTAACAACCATCAATATGGAATGGGAGACAGGCTGAACTGTGAGGAAAATGGGTTCTATACCCTGTATTTCTTTCTAGATCTTGTAAAGCAGATATATCTTTCTCCCTTACACATTTATGAGGAACTTACAAGCAAAATGTCCTTTATTTAATTTAATTTATTTAATTTCATGGTTCCATGCAGGTTACTTTAATGGGTTTTAAAATGATCAGATTTGGTTCAGAAGGAAAAGATATCCTTCTCAGTTTGTGAGACAGACCCAAGACTTGACATACAAGAAAAAATATATTCATTTAAAGAAATGCCCTGGGTTTACTGTTTTTTAAAAAGTGTGTTTCTAGGATAATTGTATTACACAATAAATGACCAACCTCTTTCTGGAATTATGAACACTTGTAAATGAAATTAACACTAAGGGTCTCTAAGAATTTTGCAAGCCTGATCTTAAGGGCATTTACAAAGCTAAACATTCTTCAAGAGAAAACTGTTGCCTAAATGATATAAACATTTTTCTCTAAGTGTACGTAATAGGACCAAGAATCTCTCAGAAGAGGGATGAGGGGTACAATGTGACCCACTGGGCAAATTTCTATTATCTGCCCATTTCCTCCTCACTTAATCCTTTCCCTGTAAGTTCCCAGAGATACCAGAAGTGCCTTAACAATGCTGATTTAATAACTTGTGGTAAAAATTACCACCTATAGAGCAGTGATCTCAAATAGCAGTTCCCTAAGAGGAAACTTGTTGAAAATGCAAATTATCGGCCCCAATGCAGACTTATTAAATAAGAAACTTTGGGGGTGGGGTTCAGCAATCTGTATTTGAACAAGTCTTTGAGGGAACTCGGATGTGTTTTAAAGTTGAAGAGCCTCTGGTAAAGACCAATTAGAACAAGAATTTCAAGAGTCTTTGTGTTTTCTCAAAGGTGACGGGTGTTTTATGAAATAATTATAAAAGCTTTAGCGATACGATCACAGTAATCATAGGCTATTCTATTTCTACTGTAACAGATACCCTCAGCAGATTTTAGTAGATAATTTAACCAGTTCATCTAGTTAGTATAGTTCAGATTTGAATAAACCAGTGCAATACTGGGCTGACAATATGGTCAGATCATAACATGAGAGAGATTGAAACTTAAGAGTTCTCTTGGGTCAGCTGAGGAAAGTGACTAGAGGATATATATATCCTTAGAGAACCATGTATTGTGCTATACTTCTCTTATATAATCATATATAGCATTTACAATTAAACAGCTAAGTATGTAATAATTTAATCTGCTTAGGAATGGTAAGGGCCCTTAATTATCAACCTACACAAAATTAAACCAGGAAAAATAATACACAGAGTTGAGATGGGAACTGTATTTGATTCCAAAGCAGAACATTTTATTTTGGTTTTCCATCGTACATGCCTTCCTCTGTTAAGGCCTTAAAACAAGTCCTAATGAGTTTTCAAATTAATTTTTTTAAAGCTTCCTCAAATCTTAATATATGCATGGTCAAAAATCCTTAGAAGACAAATGCCATTGAGTATAGAGAAGTGACATCTGGAAAGGTCTTCCTGCACAATTCCTAAGGAAAAAGAGGTTCTTTACTAGGAAAAAAAAACTATCTTTTTGAGGAGTGAGTATACAAGAACAAATTAATTCAAAAGAGGCATGGGATCTCATTCTCCAGAGTCACAAGACAGGGGCTGCTTCACCTTCACACGGCCTCCTAGAGCTGCCCAGGGCTTCGGGACACCTAAAAAATCTGATGGTGCTATTACTTAAATAAGAACCACACTCTGAGTGACAGGACCTGTTAGAAATGCATCAGCTGAGATATGCTATACAAACATTCTTAATTAAATTGAAAACTCTTGGTAAATAATGCATACGTAAATATCAGATGTGTCAAAGACAAGCCACAGCATTTCTGATATTCATGAGTATAGAATTTAAATATATGGCAAATAAATTGTGTTTTGAAAGAACTGTTTCTAGAAAGTCTGATGGGACCAATCAGGTACCAACACTAAAAACATTTATAGTCATCATGTCAAAATTCTTTTTTATCTTTGAAAAAGTTATTAGTATCAAGTAAATGGATATCAACGACCAGAGGAGAGCAAGGAAATATAAAACAAAGCTATTCCTCCGACAGTGAAAATAACAGCCTGTTTATCATAATGAAAAATTATGATAAAATCTTAATTTATTCAGATTCATCAAGCAAATTGTTCTTAGTGAAATGATACCATTATATGATATTCTGGTTACCACTTTTATAGAATAGCCCTCAACAACTAAAGCAGCATTATGGCAGAGAAGTCTTACAGATAAGCAAGCCAACTGGTGGGATCAAATTGTGCTGGTTAATGCAAGTGTCCCAAGAAGAAGCAGCATTTTTTAAAAAACTGTTAGCACTAAAAGTAATTTTTTCTCATTTTCAAAGTAAGATGCTGTGATTTTCTGCCAAAAGGATATCATTTTACATATCATTTATGAAGCACTCTTTACGCAAATGAATCAAAATGATTCAATACATCAATATTAAACAGAACAGTCCTGCTTGTCATTTTCTCTCAACCCTATAAGAAATTGCTTAGTTTATAATATGCATTTTTGGTTGAAATTAATAAAAAGGAAAATGAGGAAAAATCTAAAGGAGATGGTATCTTACTTTTTCAAAAGGGATATACTTTATTATCTGTCGTATAGTACTTATTAGAAATGAGCATACGATTGAGGCCAGGGCTTTTGTGGGAAAATAAAGAACATCAGATTGCCTTCTCATCATACCAACCAAGGAAAGGCTCTCCAGGGTGCTCTCTCTCTCTGGCTGACAATCCAGAGAAATCTGAGATCCTGCAAGAGCTGACCCGACCTAAGCCTGGGGTTAAACACTAATAAAAATACTGGCTGAAGCCATATCATAGTGTAATCTAACAGGTCGTATTCACCCTGCATTCACTGGGAGACGCATTCATCAACAATAGCATCTATTTTTGCTACTGGAAAAATTTAATAAATAAACTGGGATCCTATGGCCTTCATGTTGACAATTTTCCTAAGCTTTTAAAGCAAGTTAAAAACAAGACAAAGTGAAATAAATGAAAAACTGTTATTCAGGATGAACTCTTTAGTGCATGTTTATAAAACAGGTATAAAATCTGGAGATGATCTATGATTACAGAAAAGCAGCAGAAAGCAATAAACAGTCTGCCATGTGCATTCTGTTAGTAATGGCAAGAGGCATGCCTGAAGTTCTCTATAGGTGACAAAATTCTATTTCAATACTTGCTGTGCTCAGTAAATATATACATATATATATTTTTAAAAAGCCATACCTCTGCAAACTGAAACAAGGCTGATGCTTGACACTGTTTGGAAGGCGCATCAGGGTGGGATGTACTTGAAGATATCTAAAAGGAAACATGTAATTTTTAAAGCACAAGGACATTTTTTCCATAACAGACTAATAGATCTGCCATATATTTCCCCTGTAGACACTGATAAAAGATTAAGACATGAGTCATCACCCTCAATCCCTTTTAGAAAAACAGTATCAATGATAAATGAAGACAAAGGCCTTGTTTCTAAAAACAGACGTGGAAAGGAGAAAAAAGACTGAGTTTGGCTCACTTGCCATGTCTCTTGTAAGAGTATCAGATGTGTACCAAACAGCAGTTGAGGAGACCTATAGAGATACTTATTTCAGTGATTTTTAAAAATATAATATTAAATGTTGGAAGCTGCAGGTAAAATCTCTCTCTTACTAACAGCACACCCTTTAAGCTGTTCTCTGCTTAGAGGCAGCTCTGAGACTGTGTTGGGGACACAAACCATGTAGGTCAGAGGATCTGGGATTGAATCTTAGCTCTGCTACTCACCAGCTACAAGACCTTGGGAGCTCAACTAATCTCTTGAGACTTATTTTGCCCAAGTGTAAACTGATGGTGATAATAATCCCCATTTTACAGGGTTATGGTGAGAAGAAAATAAGTCACAGAGAACACTGCCTGGTATGGAACCAGAATTCAGTAAACTGTTCTCTGAATGTGAATAGCATTTTTTTCTTTTATAACACCATGCATCCTCCCATCCACCACCGCCCCCTGCACCCACCCACACACAACCCTCAGATCTCTGACAGCAGACAGGGGAACTGTCACACCATCCTTGGTTCAACAAGAACTTTTGTTCCTGCTAGTGCTTATTCAAACTTCATTAAAGGTTTTCTCTGAGGGCCAAGTATTTCTAAAGGAAATACTTCTTAAGGATGTTTTGAAGCCAAGTCAGTTGTTAATTTTGGTTTCAAAGTGAACAAACCTATCCAGCTACAAAGTAGGGTGAAAATGAGTCACAGGAGCAGAAAGTGTAGGCACTATAAATTCAGCCCATTTCCAGTCTCCCAAAAGTTTCTTCAATTAACTGTGCTCACTGACTTCATCAAAGGCAACTTGCTAAACAATACATGCACCTGCACCCTAACTCTTCATAAGAATTCACAGGAATCATTTTTTCATGTTAATCAAATTAAGTTGGTTAGAAAGATAATGGAACCAGTTGGGGATACAACATCAAAGTCACTTTTAGAGATAAGGCATAATGAGAAGAGAGAACTGATTGAATTACTGACTATATTTACAGCTGAAGACACTAAGAAAATTTTCATTTCACTGTATTTTTTTAGTTGAACAAGTATTTTTAGAATAAATCTCAGTTAAAAAAAAAAGAGAGAGAGAGAAAATAGATCTCCCATATCCTATTTAACAAACTAGATATCCACAAATGGTAATAAATGGATAAGATAAAACCAAGTACTCTGAAGACACTTGAGGATAAATTTGTAGAACTCTTCTTGGTCAAATCATGAAACCTATCATTTCAAAAGACCTCCATGTGAGAGCTGTGACAGATTGCAGACATGAATCCATAAAGATGTCCTGGGAATTATAGACCTACGGTTTATCATTTAAACTTTAAAAAGTCATGTCTTACTTCAGACAGGACTTCTCACTCCTACCAACCCTCCATAAAGTTATAAGAAAACAAATAGCTTGTGTAAGGGGAAATACATGTCCTTCAAAGATTAAATCAGAGAGTAAACCAAATAGAACCAGTGGTATAAACCATCTAGATTTCCGAAAAGCACTTCACAAGTTTTCAAATAAAAGGAGGTTTCTACAAATTAATATTGAGTAGAGGAGATTCTGACATGAATAGTGAGCTCCTGAAGAAATGGGAGATTGGGGTCAAGGATATATTTGGAATCTTTAGTTTGCTATACTAACCAAAAAAAGTGCACATGTGTCAAAATACCAAAAATTTCATATGAAATCTGAGATTTCACTAGATCTTCAGGGGCTCAGAGATCACTAGTTAAGAATCTCTGCTTTCAAAGCTGGCACAAACATTATTTAATATGTATAAAACTGTTTAAAAGAGAGTGCAGACTGAACACCCTACTATATTAAATTCTTGAGGAAACAATATACAAGACAGTTGAATTCATGGCACATCTCACAGAGAGCAGACAGGAAAGTGATAGATAAGGAGCATTATGTGAGCAAATATATATTATAACATTCTGGTGATATCAGCAGGACATTTAGGCATATTACCAACAATGTCATAAAAGGAATGACCTAATATGCCAGTGTGAAAAGTAATTCTGTCAATGAAATGTTGAGAACCACCAGGAAAGGACACTAGAGGAGAAAAAAGTCTGAAACTAAAAATATGTTCTCCTTGTACAAAACTGTACCACAAGGGGCAAACATTAGCAGGGATGACAGCATGAGAGGTCTAGTGAAGGTTCAAATGATCAAGGGGGGGACATGTGGTTTAACGCTGAGAAAAAATCAATCAATGATGGTTCCATATTGAGTTCCAGGGTAAATGCAGGTATTTTGGGAAGCAGTCTTAACCTTTAGACTTGGTATCAAGGATAATGTGCTTTCAACATCATCTGTATGTTAGAGACGTACTGAGCCAAACAGGTCTAACATTAAGACATAAGACTTTGAAAACTGCCAACTGCATGCTAAAGTTTCAATTAAGAGAAAAGTGTATTAAAACTAAATAAAAAGGAATGCACAGCCAATAACCATGAGTCAATTCTATCTTCTGATTCAATACTTGTCAAATTAACACCTGATAAATAAGTTCTAACAATAATTCAATTATATTCTTAACTTTCCTAGCCCCGAATAAAAATTAGTGATGAGGTTTAAGGGAAATAACATTTAGTATGAATGAGTTAATAATACGTTTCTAGAAAGATATTTATTCCTTAAAAAGATTCTAGAGTTTCAAAATTTGGTTTATTTTCCCATTTATGATTATTTGATCTAAGAATGAAGAGTTCTTCATTGCTTTAAGTTACTGTCATCAGCCTAAATTGAAGCTCACTTTACAATTTCATTAACTATAGATTGCAACATGTATCTTACCTCGGCAAACTGAAATAATGGTGACTTCTGACGCAATTCAGAGGATTCTGAAACATCAGGCCTGCAAGTGCCAGAGGAGATCTAAAACAAAGAAAGGTGGCGTGAGGCGTCACACCAAGAGCTCCTGGAGTCAACAGAGGACAAAGGTCACCTAAAACATTCCTATTTAAGGAAGGAATAGTTTCCGCTCCCAAATTTGAGGCAGCGCTGTGACAAAAAGATAGTTATATTCTGCAAAGTCGTATACATGGTTTTATAAAGTTTTATATATTCATTCATTTGCTAAATATAACGCCATAAATAGTGGGAGAGAGACAAGGCAATGCATTTCATGATGATTAACCAAAGAGAAATTTAATTTCTACAACGATACTCGTCTGATCTCTTGGCTTTCTACAACCAAACCCAACGAATATCTACTTTTTCCACATAATGCATTTCCCCAATATTTCATATCACTTGGCTATATGAAAACACAAATGAGTTTTGATCATTATAAACCTTTTGGGAAAATAAATCTAAGGTCAAATTTCTGTGTTCCAGGGTTTTCCTGAATTTATATACAAGTCTCAATCTTAGAAAAGTTAGTATTATTTTCCTAAGAGAAATTTCTTTTATAATATTCTCTTGTACATTATTTACTATATTGGATAAACATTTAACACTCTAAAATCTTTACTTGTGATTTTCATTATTAACAATAGTTACAGAAACACTACTGACTTTTTAAAAAAAAATTCTTGCTGTTAATCAAGTACTATTCTCAGGATACATATTTCCTTTTTAACTCAGTGTTAAAATTGACTACATGTGGATGAAATAACCACCGTGGTAGCCTGTAATTCATAAGTCACAGGAGTCATAGCATGTTAAGAGGGCAGTTTCAGTATCCCTCTGATCTACCCCCTCTGACAGATGAAGGACACAGGACGAGAGAGGTAAATGACATCTCTTACTCGCCAACAACCAACGATCACTGACCACCACAAGACTTAAGAATGTGTTTAGGCTCCATCTTCTCCCAGGGATTTTGTTTAACGTAGAATCCTCAACATTGCCTGGACACAATTTGGATACTCAAGTACTTGTGGAATTAACTAAAGTTGATCAGATGTCTTTTAAATACCAAATGAGTGTATCCCCTCTCTTTTCTTCCCTGAATGGCAAAGTTAGAGAATCTTAGGGAACAAGTTATCTTTTACTCTAGGGGAAAAATGAAAGTTAAAAATACTTTTTAGAAACCTGTTTCTGAAAATAAAATTATCCAAGATCACTGTTTAAAATCTGGGGGTAAAAAAAAAAAAAAAAACAGAAGAAAACTCATCTACAATGTTATCTCCCAAAGATAAGCACTGTTAGAATTCCACGTATATTCTTGAAGTTGTGTGTAGAGATAATATTTTCAACAGAAGTGGGATGTTGTACTAGTTACAAAATGTTTGCTTTTAACAGTACATTGATTTTCTTGTGTTACTAAAACTTTCCCTATGTAATTTAATAACTGCATGTGATTATAATTAGATGGTTGAATCTACGGGAAGAGCTGGCAGTGACCCAGGTTATATTCCTAAAACCAGTTTACACTGAAGACGTGCTTTCTAACAACGTCACAGACCATTGGACAGAAGCAAGTATTTAAAATTTTAATTGTCACCTTTAGATTTGAAAGAGTAATGGCCACCTTCTTCTAGTGATAAGCTCCATAGAAAAGGTGCAGAAGCTTTAATTAATTTGCCACCTGTGGTTTGGCTGCCAAAGCCTGATTCCCTTGCTGTCATTTAACTGTTTGACAACCAGTGCGCCAAAAAGTCCAGTAGTTTTTGTTTTCTAAATATTTGATCCAAGGAGAGACAAAATGTACTTTAAAAAGGCCAGCAAATCCTGAAATGACTAGCCACAAAAATTCCTCTCTTGGAAGGAATACTTAAATAAAACTCCATACAGTTTCTGAACAATGAAAAAAATCAATACTGTTCTGGTTTATAAGGAATCCTATGCTTTAAATTTTATTGCCATATAGTTGATTTATAATGCAAATATTTTGTAAAGCTTTGTAGTTTACTTAACCAAAATATTGGATTTATGATAGACTTAAAGGTATACTGTATAATATAGGGAATATAGCCAATATTTTGAAATAACTGTAAATGCAAAGTAACCTTCCAAAATTGTATTATAATTTTAAAAATTCTCAGTTACTTAGAAAAGTGGGCTATCACAAAAATTAAAAAAAATAAAAGTAGATCAAGTGGTCCTAAAGTTTCTCCTGAGTGTAGTAAATTAATATTTATGATTCTAAGTTATCAAGAAAAGGATAATTATAAAATGTATTCTTTATTTTAAAAAGGCAGAAATAAACGTGTGTGGTACATGCTAGACCTACTTCCACCTAAAAACTCAAAATGTAAAAACAGCTCAGTGACATGGAAAATGTACTGAGGTAGAATTCATTCTTGCACGTCTGATAAACGAGGCATCCAGTGCAAGTGTATGTATTTGTGCATACATGTGAATGCTTGATAGAGAAATCTGGCATCGTACCCACGTGGCAGGAAGAGGTTATTTCGGACAAGAGGCTCCTATTTAAGAAATGTTATTAAAGGGTCCTAGACCTTGGGGTATCACTTTGCTGTTTGTAGTTACAGCATTCTAAATTATTTATTCAGTGGGATATGGCTAAATATAACAAAATATAGAGATTAAAGGTACTTGTCCATTAATTAAGAAGGAAGAAAAATGCCAAATGAGGAGACATTCAGTAAAGGCAGGAAAAAATCCAAGCAGCTGTTTCTAGAAATAGTTCCTGAAATAATCCATAAAGCCACTGGGTGTCGCTATATGCCCAATAAAGAAAACTGCCAAAGGACTTTTAGCCGCAGTTTTGTTAGCCGCACACATGTTCAACGTTCCTTAAATCCAATCTTCCCTTTAAATTAGATATAATTTTCAATAACCAAGGAAGGGGAATGATTAGTATAATTAAGCATTATGACGAGGTAGTATTTTTCCCACAGGCAAAACGTACATTGTAATAACCAGAGACATAGAAACATGACCCAGTCCCTTTATGTGAGACAAAATCAAGCCAGCTAGATGCATTGTAAGTGGTCTGGAAAGCTAGGTTTTACTAAGCCCATTCCTACTTCTCAGGGCAGAAAACCCCAGTCATAGAGCGGGACTGTGATGAACAGTCAGCCAAAGCTACGAAGTGCACTGGTCGTATCTGAGCTCCGCATCCCTGCCCCTGCTAATTCACACATCTATTGATGACCCGTTCCTTCAACAAATGCTCAATAAACACCTAGTATGTGCCAGAACAAAGACTGCTGCTCTCTTTTAAGAAGCCTGCATCCCACCTGTGTGCCTTATGTGTCCGGGAATAAAATAGCCCTAAGGGAAGGAGCCTGGCCCTGAAGGCGCTTGTGGTTCAAGAGCAGGAGACAGCTGCACATTAAGAACAGAGGTGCCTCTTGGTGGAATGTCATCAGGTCCATGGGAGGACAGAGCGGCAGCCTTCATTCTTTCTGGGGGTGGATGGAAGAAATAAGGTCCGTAGCCTGGGAGATACCCCTAGGAGGACCACCAGAACTGCGGAAATGCTGCGCTAACAGCAGGGGGCAAAGTAGCGGTGACCTGCCCAGGGTCTGTGAGCATCAGCGACTTTCCCAGCGTGGCCGAAGCCCGAGAGGTCTGGGGACGCGGCGGGAGACGGACTGAACTGAGAGGACCCCCAACGCTACTTTAGTAAGTCTGGTGATTAGGCTGAAGGCAGCGGGGAGTCAGCCAAGGTTTCCAGTCAGAGGAGCGGCAGGACCAGAGATGCGGAGTCAGAGAGGGCTTTCCGTGGAGCGCAGGATGACTGGCTGGGGAGGGACTGGAGGCAGGAGGCTGACGAGAAGGTGAGGGAGATAAACCAGCTAAGAGGCGGGCCCCAGTTAAATCAGTAACTGCCCGGAGGGCATCAAGGCTGGGGGCGCGGGGGTTGTGAGCAGAGGAGTCCCTTTCAGACTTCAAGCCCAAAGATCCGGGTGACCCTGGGCCCATGCACTGACTCGCCTCCTCCTTCAACCTGGCCCAGGCTTTCCCGCAGCCGGCAGCTTTTACCAAGGATCCTTCTATACCAGCATCTGGGTGATCACTTTATTTGCACTTACTATGAGATGCTAAATGGACTTGCGCTTTTAAACACAGGTGAACTCATTGTAAGTATATTCTATCCAGGTAAGTCCTTCAAAATCTACTTCAGGACTGAACTGGAGCCACTCCTCATTAAACCTGAATGAGGTTAAGGAGCAGCTGAGGACCGAGGACGTGCACTTGACCGACAGACGCCAGGCCTGGGGTGCAGCTGGAAGAGAACCGGGCCGCCCTGGGGGTCACCCCAAACGGTCCCACAGAGACTCGAGAATTCCTTGAAACTGGAGTGCAAATCAAGTTAAGCCATCCTGGGCTGAGAGGCGGGATGAGCCCCTGGCTCCTCTTAGGGCACCTGGGCCAGCAGCGTCAGGCTCCTGTCACTTTAAGCCGAGTGGCACAGCTGACGTCAGACTCCGGGCCACTTCCATAGAGCGCTACAGACGCGGAGACAAACCGGAGCATCTTCCCGCCTCTGTTTCCTCAATCGATAAAGCAGGTCACAATGCTACCGACTTCTCCACAGGTCACAGGGAGGACAGGAGGCAGTCGTGCCTATAAACACACTGCCGACAGCAGCGCGGTCCCACCCGTCTCGCTCATCCTCTTCTTTCTCCTCTTGCCCCACTCGCTTGCTGCCCACCTTTCCCATTCCCCCTCTCCACCACCTCTGGGAACCGGAGGCGCTCCTCCGAGCCCGTCGGCATCTTGAGCAATGCAGCCTGGGGATGCACTGAGGACAGATGCCCGTCAATCAGCTTGGGCAGAAGGACTCGATTCTCTGCAGTGAGCCCCGCTGTGAGAGATGGAAGATGCTGGGCTGGATGGGCAGTGAGCAGGGGCATCTTATAAGAAGGAAGGGTCTCCACCCAGAACTGAGAAAGTTCAAAGAGCCCATTTAATGTGAATTTAAATATATAGTATTTCCTCACTATGTTTAAAAGCTA